CTTAAGAAAAATCAATTTGTCTACTTGTCGTCTTTTCCTTAGCTAACATAGACAAATTGGAGGATAGAAACAGTTTTTTTCGTTATAGTAGCCATTTTTACCCTTGGCGAATAAAGAGGCGAATTAGTAGTTGTCATGAGGAGCCCAATTTTTCTTTCCAGTGCTCGCTCCATTTTTTCACCTGTCTCCACTGAGCGAGAGCCTAACGCAGGCTAATCTTCGCTTTGATATTCACCCCCACCCCCTTAATCACTTTGAATTACCTTGCAGAAGGCAAAGTTATAGTTCTTGACAGGCGAAAGGTTGCTTTGAAAGCTGACATCATTGTGTTCTCTGAAGAGTGGTCTATGAAGGGAATCAAACGCCAGCCAGTTCTATAAGAGGTTACAAAAAAGGAGAAAATTCTTCAGTTTTCTTTAATGCAAATTGGGTATCTTAAACAAAAACCCAATAAATGAAAAAGGGCGGTTAGGAAAAAGGAAAAAATGAGAGCTCAGCGTGAAAAGAATCAAATTTCCTGAAAAGCGAGTTTTATTTTTAAAAAAAAGCAAAATGCTGATCTTTTTTTGCAGAATTTGTCTTTCCCTCTCTCTGTTCATTCTGCTAAGGTTAAGTATTTATTCCCACTGAAAAATACTTTTGTAACAGAGACTCAATCTGTAAACCTAAAAACGCATTTTTTCGTTATTGAATGGCAAATAAATCCTGAGCATCGCAAAAACAAAAGAAAAAAAAACGCGAAGGAACGCGAAGTTTCCACGATAATTCAACTCATACCTCAAGAAGGCTGATTTGAGAAGCTGAAATATGGTGCTTGAAACAAAACAAAACAAAAATATACATCCTGTAGTTTCCTGCCCCTGTGTTTTAATACTAACCACAGAGATGTCATCATGAACCCCTGCAAAGTTTTGAAACTCTCGTAGACAAATCTTAAACGAACTCGCTGAGACATCTTCCAGCCACACGCAGGTAGCGTCATGTTTTAAACCTGTCCTGTAGTGTTCAGCAGTTACAATTACTGTTGGCGAGGTGAGGAACTTTCCCTGAAAAAACAAATAATTGGATCAATAATGTCCAAGTAGCTTAAATGATAAACGCGATCTTGAGTTGATATATTCGAACCAATTAGAGGCCCACCAGCGATATTTGCCCCCTCGCCCCCCTCCCCACCCCATCTCTTGCACGTCGATTCTGTGCTTAAAGCGT